CCACCCTGCTCTCTCGCAATGCTCTGTGGAGACTTAAAACGGGAGCACTTAAGCGGCGGTTGCTCAACTTTGATGATGGTAGACTCGTTTAGCGGGGCACAGGTGTCGGAATGTTTTAATTTCTCAACTCATTAGCGCCGCACAATGTGCCCCGATATATACACTCGGTAGAGACGATGTCGCGTGAAAACGAGTGCGAAACGTCACGGACAGAAGAAAAATACTTAAACAGACTTACTTTTAATTGGTCCGACTTGCTGTCTCTCCCTCTTTCGGAATTCTCGTAATTCGCAACGCCTTCCATAGGCCCGTATCGTAGTGTGTCTGCATCGTTGAACAACTAATAAACCAACTACAAAACGTCCATCGATGGATTCGCACGTAGAGGTGTATCCATCGTATACTACGGTACGCAATAACATCACTTATAGCACTTTAATTTAGAAGAGAAATTAAACGAGGAATTTCGCTTTCCTGTAGATTTCAGATGGCGAACAGCGAAGCAGACGAAATTGCGTACGTAACTGACTGGCAGCGCCATCTCGCGGCGCAAAAAAGTCGAATAAATATTTTTATGCTGCATTTGCATGTAATATCAGGAGTTAATAATGACAAATTATGACATTTGTCATTATTAACTCCTGATATTCAAAAGCCGATTTGTCGAACAGCTCACGTGTATAAAACATACTCACCGCAGAGTTGGGCAGTGCTGCCATCTGTTGTCTCATAACCTCTTGAGCTACGCGGCCATAACGGAGAGCATAGCGGCCTGCAAACCCAACGACTGCCAAGCCAAGACCAGCTGCAATTAATGAGGCCGACTGCAAAATCAAATGGAAATAACTAAATTGTAGTCAAACTCTGGTACATGCATTGCAAACTTAAACAATAACTGTTAACAACCAATCATTTGATCTGTAATAAAATGATTTTCCCATGATTACAAAACTTACAACATGACAATTAAAAGCAGTTGAAAGTTTCAGCCGAGTACCAAAAATGCTAGGGTTGCAGGAACTTCGCTGGTTAAACAGGTTACCTTTTTGTTGACCACTACATTTTTCTTGGACTGCACACGTAAACATAAATGTCGCTTGACCAACTGCATTCATTTGTATTATGAGCATATTATATGAATACTATTACTATGTTCATATGTTGTTCATATATATGCATATGTTTGCATGCAGTTGAATTATGCAAGGCCACACACCTGCTATATGAATGCCACAGGGCTTATCACATGATCTGGGAACTATTTATTGAAGTCAATAATGTAACTCATAAGCAATGATTTAGCACATGCACAAGTTCTAATTAAAACTTTAGTGTTTCATCAAGCGATTCTTACCAATCATAGACAAATGCAAATCTACGACTGACTCGCCACGAGAGATAAATCACGAGTAAGATACCAAGTAAAGGTGGTCTTTAAAAATGATGTGCAAAATATATAAGGTGCATTTTATTAGTAGCCATAGAACGACCAGGGGAGCAAATTTTATGAATTACGGAATCTTTGCCGAATTATTACAGACCTTGGTGTTGAACCGACCAGCGCCTGGTACGCGGCCTACCTGCAACGGGAACTGAAGTTGAACTGATTCATGACGTGGGGGATAAACAGCCATGATGCCATCATAATCACGATTTACACCTAGACATTTAGTGTATGCTTTACCCTAGCCACAAGTTAGCTTCTCGCTTTTCACTACGTGGCTCAGTCACAGAGCCTGGCCGGGCTAGCTTTGCCCCACAAACTACCTTACCTCCTCTTAAAGCCCAGACCACTACAACACAAGGGTCTGAAATTGGACTGGTTGTTGTTTTTGTTTGGCCAAACAGAAATGGCGCTCGAAGTATCGCCGCTCGTCGCTTCGAAATTTTGTAACAGGTTATATTAGTTTAATACATAGTATTGTGATACATAGTAAGTACCAGGATAGCGGAGAAAGGTTCGTGTTTAGAATAAACCCAGTTTGGAAGGTCTAGTCTTGAAAAACGTACCATAAAACCACCCTGATTGAATCACTCCAAAAAAAAGAATAGGCTCGCGTTGTAACCCTACTCTTGTTGGGTTACATTATTGTATCTATATTGCCTACATACGATACAACTTCCAAGAACACAGGCACTTGGAATGTCTCAATAAAAAAAAAAGGTAAATAAACACGAAATGTATTTACTACCAAAGTCTTAATGTTTCTCTACTCTATTTCACCTATAATCACTTGTAAATGCCGGTCAAATGCTCATCTGCAACACACAAGTACGCCGCACGCCCGCGCTGTACACAAACAACACGAATAAAAGAGCAGGTAGAAAAGCTTGATAGAAAAATTCGCTCGACGCTCGCTTCATTTCACACCTTCACAGCACGTATACACATCCAACAGCTTCCATCTTGGTATATAATGTGTACATAAATGTTCACTTGTTCGAATTATAACTCTGCCCTTTGTCCTTACCTACTCCAGCCAGAGATATCTCGTGAAATCCTGCAGGGAATGTTCTCTCCGTAAAAATGTAAAGTAAGTGTAAAGAGGACGAGATGTCTGTTTATACACGAGTAATGGCGGCGCATTGCATGCCGGGATGAGCTGCTGCCGGCCTCCGCTTCGAGGCCCGCCAAACCAAGCATAATGCGTGCGGGCATGACGTCACACACACACACACACACAACTACAGCAATCGATCGAAAGTAGCGCCGTTAGGATTTCACGAGATATCTCTGGCAGGAGTAGGTAAGGACAAAGGGCAGTTATAATTCGAACAAGTGAACATTTATGTACACATAGATACCAAGATGGAAGCTGTTGGATGTGTATTCGTGCTGTGAAGGTTTGAAATGAAGCGAGCGTCGAGCGAATTTTTCTGTCAGGCTTTCCTACCTGCTCTCTTATTCGTGGTTTGTGCACAGAGCAGATGAGCATTTGACTGGCATTTACAGGTGATTATAGGCGAAATAGAGTAGAAAAACATTAAGACTTTGGTAGTAAATACATTTCGTGTTTATTTACCATGGCATTATTTTTTTTTATTGAGACGTTCAAAGTGCCTGTGGCTGTGTCCAAGAACGCATGTAAAATTCCATCAGTGCATCACCACAACGTAGGATTGCAACTAAACTGTTACATACGACTGCCCATAACTTTGCCGTTTTATTTTGAACGTTTAACTCACCATTGAACTACAGGACGATAGTACACATTAAAACCATTATAAATTTTAAAATGACATTCGACGAGGATGCCGCAAGTTCGCCAGAAAACAATTTTACACATGGAGATATAGCGATCCGCTAGAGGGCGCAATAAACACTAACAAAATACCATTCGGTTGTAAAATCACATGTAAAATCACTTTTGTAACGTTGTCACGATCTAAGAACAATATAAATAATATTGATTAGGTGCGTTATATATAGACTCAGCTGCTATAGTCGGAACAGTGTGTGGGTTGATGTGTGCCTTTAGCGTGTTTGGGTAGCGTAGCCAAAGCAAGACGCTGCGTGGTCAGAAACTTAATTACTCGTAGTCGTAGTCGTAACGTTACTCGTTACTGACGTTAGTCTTGACTTCAAGTTAAGTCTCAACTTCAAGTCTCAAGTTAGTCTCAACTTCAAGTTATAGTTATAGTACACTAATTAGTAATTACTATTACTAATTATTACTACTATTACTAATACTACTACTAGGCCTGAGTAATACACTGCGTGTGAGCGACTCCTACATTTCGTGAAGGCTGTATCGTGATAAGGATTGTTTCGATAGCTACCCGTGTCTAATTCCCACACCTGTCTCTGACGATCGCATGTCTTTGGTTCCCTTGCAGTTTGAGAGATCGGTCGCCGACTTCTTACGCAGAACTAAACCACCACAGGGAATGAGTCGCAGCAGCGACTGACGCTACCACGGCCATAAGTGAAGCAGCTGCTCTTGATTCGTTTGGTCACTTCGTCGTCGACGCATTACAATGGCCGGTAGCTCTAGAACTATAGCCCTTGTTCGACACGGCATATGTCGAACGAGGTCTATAGTACTAGAGTTAAACGGTCGGTGGATAGGCTAGGACGTATACGGAGCAAGCACGCCCACTCTTAATGCGCGGGACACGCGCAGAGTATTTTAATTATTTTATCGATTCTGTCTGTTCTGAAGAGCAGAACGAATGGGATGTTAGCATTTAGACCGAATAATTCTGTCTCAGTTAACGTTTTATATTTTAGATGCGTTATACTGGGACAGAACGGGGTGCATTGAAATTTCGTGAGATCGCATGCAAAATGCATGCGCTGCGAATGTGCCTCGTACGCCAGTATCGGCGGGTAAAAAAGCCTACCGTTCCCTTCTACATGGCTTTACCTTGCTACTGATGTGCGTGAATATTCACTTCAATCGTTATTCACTTCTTAAAAGATTGTTTTTCAGAAACCCCGCTTCATTCCACTTTAGTAAATCGCATTCGCCATTCACAAACAATCAGACCAATCAGAGCGAGCCTTAGCCCTAGTTTTTTCTTGTAAACTTTGGCTCCAAGATCGAATGTATCATGGGATGCCTGCTGTCAGTCATGACGAAGTTAGCCGAACGCTATCGGCTATGCGCATTGGGAATCTGTACATCACAGGTCAACAGAAATGGTGCTCGAAATATTGCCGCTCGCTCGTGCACCTTCGAAATTTTTTGTAACAGTTATAATAGTTATTAAATAACAGAGTATTGTGATAACATAGTAAGTCCCAGGATAGTGGAGAAATTTCGTAGTTTACGAATAAAACCGCAGTTTTGGAATTTTGTAAGTTTCGAAAAGCGCACACATAAAACAGCCACTGAAGTGAATGCACTCAGGGGCTCCCCAAAGAAAAAGAATAAGGCTCGCGTTGTAACCCCACTCTTGTTGGGATACATTATTGTATCTAGGATGACCCCAATGCATTTTCGCAATGTGCGACATGTGCACTTAGTATGATACTGATTACTGTCTTAACTGACTGCCATACCACTCTAAACTCCATTCAATTCACGGTGACATTGTCTTCAGTGTCGACTGATCGTTTTTAGTCAGACCACAGGCACTTTGAGAGAACGTTTCAAGATATGAAATAGGGTAAAAGTTAAACACTGAAAATGTATTTACTACCAATTAATGTCAATGTTCATGTATTCTTTGGGCTGACTAAATATAATACCCGCAAATGCCGTTCAAATGCTCTTTTGAACATATGCAATTTCACCGCATGCACAGCAGCACAAACAACAGAAATATAAGAGCCTTCTAAGACTATATCTAGAACCAGGGCGCCGACTGGAAAATCGTTCATGCCCGGAAATATAGCGTGAAATATCAGGCCGCACAGTAGGCCACTTTGTTAAAGCCGGGGGCCTGGGGTACCACAGACTCCCCCCACCAAGGAAAATAATTGGTACCATAAGACCACTCATTCATGCACCATGTCTGGCTGAATTTTTGTGGCATGTGAGAATCACTAACAAATAATGAGCCAACAACTGCTTAGTACAATAGGACGGGTTGCTAAGCGGAAGTGACGTCAATCCAGCCGTCATAGAAATGGCCTGCAGGCCTGCCAGAATATAAATAATAGTATCTACTAGTGGCCTGTCATGCCGCAGATTTATTAAAATATTCATAATTTTTTTGGGGCTGGCGACCTTAGAACAGTCGCTCAGGGCGAAACCAGCCAGAGAATACTCTGCTACATCGATCGCCAGATCCGGCTCTGTTATAGGAACCTGTTGTTTGAGCAAGCGGTAGGCCGCAGTTCGTGAGCCCGTGGCAACTTGTGTGTTGCAGAAGATAGAATTGAACAGATTTACCGGAACTATTCTCTACGAATAAATATTAATTGGCGAAGAGAGTAGAGAAACTTTGGTAGTGGAATACATTTTTGTGTTTCATTTTACCATCATTATATTATTATTGTTCAAGACATTCCAGCCAGTGCCTGTGGTTTCCAGCTGTAAGCTTATGTGGGCTAGTTGCTCATTTTCTAGGAATAGTAATCATTAACTATGACATGAATCGACATGTGAAATCGATCGACTGCAGCTAATAATTCGGACGCAGGAATTCAACAGTAATGGATTCATACAAGCTCACAGCATGAGTTTATCTTTGGGTGGAACTAGATCTATCCCGGTAAATAAGAGAACGGAGTCTTGGTTGATTAGTGACCCCTGTCACTTAATGCCAACGAGACCTTTAATAACTCTGCGTGACTTGGACAAACACGTTTGGTGGATACACACATCAGAGATTACCACAAGAGTTCAAAGGCCATTAAAGTGCCCGAATTGTGTGATAAGGTAGATTACCCCACGTATGGTATAGATACTCAGACAGATGCGTATACGTTCATCGCCGTAGGTGGCAGCAGTTTTACACAGTCAAAAAAAGTCTGTAAAAACTTGATCATTCTGAAGATTATATGATAAAGCAATGTCGAAAATGGATAGCTGAGCTGTTAATTTCTTGGTCGAATTTGTGCTCGTTTGTTATTGGTATCAAAAATGGAAAGCATATATACATTGCTTTGCCTTCTCTAACAATGGTAAAGATCACAGTTGCTTTTGTGTGAATAAGATCGCTGGCATTGCATCAGTGCTGCATAAACGCATACATATGTATATTTCCAAGTAGATCATAAAATACCAATAAATTGGTGACACAGTTCTGTTCAACAAGGACGCAAGCAATAATCTGAGCAGCACCTTAAAAGTACTTTAAATGTAATTTAAGTTAATTTTTACTTACTATTAATAGGTGCCATTTTAAGGTATTATTGCTCAAACATCGGCATGCACAATCACGGAGGTAGAGCTTCTCCAAAACTGAGTGCAGATTTCTAAATTTGTGAATTGTGCATTATTAAATGACCATTGCAAGCTCTGTTACTGACTGGCTTTTTGCAATTTTCCAACCAGAAATTCCTCGAATACAACACACCCTAAGGTACATATGACAATTGTGCATTCTTGAAGATGGCGCTAAAAACGATGGTCATACTCAAGAAAAAGATTTGCTATTGTGACTCGATTACTAAGGTTTGATTTTACTATTAACTTCTTTCGCTACTGTATTGCAAATTGCATGCAAAACATTCTCATAAATTAAGGTAAGATTCACGTCCATAGGTCATACTATTACCTTGGTTAATTTTTATTGGCACAAAAAATGCATTTTACATACATTTCTATTGTTTGATTTATTTCCGCCAGAAAAGTTGTAGAATACTTTATTACGTGGATGTTTAATCTTGTAGTGTGTTTTCTCTTATTGAGTTATTGGCAATAAATGGCGCCATCGACATCAAATTGCGCAACTCAAAATAAACCAGCTTGCAATTTGTCCTAGGAAGGCATTTAAGAACGTGACACATACGGGCGAGCGATCGCGATAGCCTTGCTATATGTGTATGTACAGCAACGAGCCTTCTGGTCGCGAGTAACACACTGCAAAAATTCCATCACATGCTCGAGCAACCACAACAGACACACGAAGGGTGTGTCACTCATATTCTAATATAATTCTCATAATTAAAAATCTAAGGTAAACTTAACGCATATGTAGGGTCAACAAGTTGTACTACACACTCTACAATCCCATAAAATATCGTAATGAAGTCAATTCGAATTTAATTCTCAACGACTCGCCTATGTGCCTTTACTTTTTGAAATCCTCAAGACTTTCAGTTTGTAGAAGCGTTATGTAATGCCAATATCACAAATATAAGTATAGAATTCACCCAATAACTTGGTTTGCTCATAAACTGTGGTTAAATGCATTACGATTAAGACATGTTGCAGGCACGATCGTATATCGTAACAAATTTACGTAACCGTCGCCGAAAACCGAGCCGTGACGCCATCTTTGCCGCGTTGCCAACGCCCGCGTATTTCTGTCGTCCAGTGTACACAATGCAACTGTGCCAGATTTAAATTCGGTGCAACTGAGCGAGGTGAATCGACACACACTGGAAGCAGCACGCCGTGCCGTAAGGGGCAACACCTACACTCTCTAACTGCTGCTGCCAGTACTTCCCCACCGTCAAGAGCACCGACTTCGTGAAGCACGATGATGGCTGGCCTGGCCTAGTCGGCAGACTTCGGCTCGCCGCCGGCGGGCGGTCGCCGCGCACGGCGCAGGCCTAGGCTACACGGCTCCGTGCCTGCCCCCCTCCCGCCATGCCCCGCGTGGCTGCCAAGCTGAAGGGCGCTCCACCACGCTGCGGTCACCACATTGTACGAATGGTGGCAAGACCCGTGCCCGCGCCGTCGACACCCGTCGTCGGCCGGCACCACCGCCGGCCGCCCTCGGCGTCGTCACCGGCAGCGACGCAGCAGGCAGTACGACGGTCGTTACGGCAAGAGTGCGCGGCGAGTCATGTTCTGTCGGCGACGAGGGGGATTCCCTGCGTCCTCCGCTGCGCAGCGGCGGGTAACACCGATGCCGCCCGGCTGAACAGGGTTCGCTGCAAACGCGCTTGCGGAGCGTGCCAGTTGCCAAGGCAGACAGCAACATGCCTACTGACTCGCAGATGGTGGTCAATTCGGCCGACCAGAGCTCCATCCCGCGTGGCGCCCTCTCGACGGTGGAAGGTCAGCCAGGGGTCGTGCTGCGAGGCGGCAAGCTGCTGTGGCACAGCAAATGAGTTAGCAAATTGTGCCTGTCACTCAGTGCTAAAGGCGTCTAGCGAGATAAGGAAAGAGGCTGGCCGAGGCGATCGAGGAACGACGCTTGACGCACCGTAGTAATGCATTAAGAATTGAGCCAGAAGATCTAAAGTCGGCAGCTGGGTATGCGTAGCAGTGGTAACGCTTTTTTCACGATTGTAAATCGTGGCGCAATCGCGATTTGGGTTCTGCTTTTTTCTTTCATTGTCGTGTTGCAATAGCATAGTCCACGCATGGAACACGTCTTCATTATATTAAAAGGATAAATGGGTCAGACGCAAACATTTTAATAGTGTTATAACTAAAATTATAACCTCAGCACATTCTTGGTGGTTTCAAGATGACGGCGTCTACATTTTAAATAATAGATCATTGTAACGGCAGCGGTACCGCGACTTTTTAGAATCAACTCGGCAGAAGATTCCGAGGGTTGTCTCTGGTATCCACTGACTGTTTTTTTAGATACTCAGAGCAGCGGTGAGCATTGTGGCCGAAGCAGGGCGCGGAAAAGCGGTCTACTTCTGCCCATGAATTGTCGACCGGACAATTCGAATTTCGCAGCCTAAACGACTTGTTCTCTACCCACGTGAGAGAATTATCAAACAGCTATCGCGGTGAGATAATGTCATACATTTATTCCAATAAAACTGTGAATAAGTCACATATGAGTATAATTATTTTCGGTGCCGCAAGAAAGAAAAAAAACTTTCCAGAT